GACCAGCTCAACGTCCTGTCCATCATCCATCAGCAGAAGCCCTGGAGCCAAACGCTTTCTCCTTCCTGTGCTGGAGGCAGCATGGAGAAGCTGTGGGGACCAGCTCTCCCGGCCTTGACTCTACAAGAACGTGGGGTTTTGAGAAAATTTCTTATTTCTCCGAGCCTCAGTTTTCTCATCTACAAAAAGGGTATGATAACACCCATGGTCACAGGACTGCTGTGAGGGTTTAAATGGGTCTCATCCCAACCCCAATTATAGCTCAGCCACCTGCCCCCACTGCATGGAAACGATGCCCCACCACCAACTCCACCACCACCTGTCCCTCCCTGCCAGGTAAGAGAGATCCTGGGCTCTGAAAGGGCAACAGGAGGGGCTCCTCCCAAACAGGGGGTGTTATCAAAAGTTCCACATAAAGCCATGCTTAGCAAGGGAACAGAGGTATAGCTGAAAGAGAATGTGGCAAAGAAAACTGAGAACAATCCCCCATTCCGAGTTTCCACACGAGATGTTCAAATGCTCTGAACTAAATTTCTACCTCTCACTGCCAGAAGGGGTATAAACCTGTGAACAGGTTTAAAACATATTCATTCCCTTTTAGCCAGGAATTTTATATTTTACCCTACTGATAAAAGAATCACACAAAGATATTCTTGGATGCCCATCAGTGGTATTTGTAATAGTAAAAAACTGCAACTTATCTAAATATCCAAGGAAGGACTGGCTAAATAAACTTGGTGCATCCATTTGACAAAGTATGGTTATTTAAAATAATGTTATTGAAGAATGTTTCAGGTTGTGGGGACATGATTTCAGTAGAGTAAATGGAAAATACAGGAATAAATTAATAGGTGTTATGATCACCATCAAAACTGTGTGCTTACATAAACTTTAAAAGTCGGTTGATAACATATGTGCTATTTAGGACTACATGTACATAGCAAGTTTATAGACAGGGAAGGTAACAATAAACATAAACACAGCAGAGCAAGGGATTTTTTTTAAGGGCACATGTCTTTAGTTGGATTGGTAGCTACCTGGAATTTTACATTATCCTTTATACCACTTTGTATGCCTGAAATATTTCATAATTAAACAGTTTTAAGTGAATGTGTATATAATGCTAGAAAGGTAATACATCGAAATGTAGACACTACTTTGAAGTAAGAGTATAGTGAATTCTAGTGTTCACATTTTCCAAATCTGCAACAAAGAACATACACTCCTTTTTATCGTGTACACTGTTTCTTCATTGGAAACTGTTCCTGTGCCTATCCCAACATTCGTATATTTTTTGATAAAGGATGTTTGATGCTAAGCAGTGCCCTGCATCAGGGTCACACCTGGCTCTTCTGCCAAGGGCCTTGATTGAGGGACCATGAAACCCAGCTCTTCACTCGCGAGTCTCTCGCCCACTAGAATTCAAACGAGAAAAGTGCTGTGGGGGAAGCAATGTCCCTGAAACCATCCCACTCATATCCTTTGACGTGAGAGAAGATTTGTAGGCGGCTTCTGGGAGCATTCTCCACTCTGCAAATTGTTCTCAAAAGTGTTAAAAAATATAGTCTGCTTCCCCCACCCCTCTGGAATAGTTTGCGTTCTATCCTGCCAGGAAGCCGGGGGCTCAGCCAGTGGACTGGGTAAAGTGGTGAGAAAAAAATAGAGACCAATTATATTGTCAACTAGTGTAGACTGTCCAGTCACAATTCATTTTTCACCAAGAGCTGGAGGTGGAGGGTGGGAGAATAATTCTGCGGAGTTATGTCACCATGCCTTAAGACCCTTCCAGTTTCCTTAGAGGAACTCTTCACGTGGGGTCTTGGCTGGTCTCTGTGAGGCCCACAATATCATATGTCAACCTTGTAAAATTGTCTGGAGCCCAGTGCTATCATCAGATTCTCAAAACAGTCCATGACACACCCCGCCCCCCAAACAACTGAGGATCCCTCTTCTGTAAGGATACACTCTTTTCTTAGCTTACCCACTCCTGTTTGCTCTCTAAGTTCAAGTTCAATAGGGGGTTGCAGGAGAGTTCAGAAGGAAAACCCTCTATCAGGCACTACCAGAATTGTCATCCGAGTCTTTAAAATGAAGCAAGATGTCAACAGGAATGTTTGGTGCTGTCCACACTCAGACACCAATATATGCTTTTAATCAAAGGGGGAAAGTTTTTGTGTTAATACTTCCCCTCTTTACATCACAGATGTATTTCTAGAAAGGGGGTGCGTGTGTTGAATTCCACATACACACGGGGAAGATCCACTCTTTCTGTTGTTCACTAACCAAGAAGTATTTGTGAAGACCTCAGTGTGCAGCACTGGGCTAGGACTCAATGGAAACTTGACCACGATCCCCCAAAGATCCCTGTCCCCCATTCAGCAGCTTCATGTTCAAGAGTACATCTGGTGAACATCTTTCCACTTATGAGGTGGAATCAAAATTGAGAGTTACTAATGTTACTTTCCCAAGCCCTCACATCTTCCTGTATGAGTCATCCACTGGAAGCCACCTTTTTTATCAGATACTTTCCACTACACATAGAAACAGGCTCCAAAAAACTCTCCATTAATGCTGCTGTGACTCTACTTGATACCACCACTTAAAAAGCACCTTTGAGGAGACTACAAAGCCATTTATCTATTAATTCATGGGGCTCAGATATTTACTCAGACATTGCAGTCTTTATGGCTACAATCTTCTCGTGAGTGGCTGCATCCACTACTTCATTCAACTTGTCTCTACCAAGTACCTGTTTGTGCAAGGCACTGAAGATCTTCTGTGGCCACATGTGTATCTGTCACACAGCCCATCATCTCTGTATAGCTTGGACTGTCAGTAAACTTGCAAAACACCAGTTTTCATGTCCTCTAACAGCTTCTAAGATTCTTTTAAGTTTTATAATGATTATAATATTACATGACAATATTTGGAGGAAACTGCCCAGGTTCTGGAATCTGTTTGCCAAGAATCAGGAAAAAATAACAGACAAATCAGAAAGGAATTTGGCCACAGGTGAATCCCTAAGCATAAAGGTAAACTCTTCCATGAAAGTCTCTTTACTGTGACAAAACATGATATGATATGGTTAAGAGATATAGCAAGGGAGGGAGGTGTATCTTTTGTGGCTGCATAAGGAGAAAAGACACCAAATAACTCATTATATGAGCTTAGATGACTCTGATCAGAAGGTAAGGTCATGGATGCCGATCGACACAAAAACCAAATCACAACTCATGATTGCAAATAATCCTTTCATATAAAAGCATTTAGTAGTTCTTTGAATAAAGCTTCTAGAGACATGTTTTTCTGAAAAATAAACATAGTTCAGGAAAAATGTAGGATGAGGCATGATCTTAGAAATGATCTAGGTTAAAGTCTTATTGAATCACTACAGTTCCCTTGGCCTCTACTTCTTCATTTTCAAAGTAAGGGGACTGGACTATATGATGGCTAAGGGCTCTATATATTATGAACATCAACAATCCTAATAATAGCCACAAAGTTAAAAACATTTGCAAACACCAAAAAACTTGTCAATAAAGAAAGTTCCAAAGACTTCACTTGTCAACAATAAAAGATTCAAAGAGTAAAGTAAAAGCAAGAAGAACATCGTCTTTTTTGTCCTATTACCATAGCAACAGAATAAACTGGTCCAACCCACCAATCTGATGGTCTAAAGACTGGAACAAACACCATGTGGCAAATAAAGATGTGCGAATACATTAACGCTAGCTAGCACAGGCTCCCTCCATCACAGCTATGCGCATCATAGAAAACTCTGCCACAATTAAAAATAACAAAGAAAGTGTTGCTTATATGGGTAAACAGATGTTATCAGGTGAGAGCCCAGTAATCTGTGTTCAACGGAGCTTCAAATTTTTACAATGGTTTAAAGACTGGATCTCAAAATTGTTTTTTAACAGACGAGGCCCATAGAGAGGAACTGACTTGCCCAAGATGACATCATTAGTTACAGACAGAGCCAGTACCATGACCCAGTTCTTAATTCTTAGCATAAAAGCCTCATCTCACAACAGTGGCTTCTGCAGTGTCTGTGGAGGAGGAGGACCAGGCCCTAACGCTAGATGGATCCACCATGCATGCATGATGATTAAAGTTCCAGGGAGTATGAACAATGAACAGACATGGGGAGCACAGCGGGTGCCAGAATCCTGACCCCCAGTCCCTAGACAATGAGAGCATCAGATGCCTAGGGAGTCTTCCCAACTGTGTCACTCGGGAGACAAGGAGGTCACACAAAGAAAATTACTAAAATTCAGCATCCAAAGATGTGGGCCTGAAAAAATCCAAGAAAGCTTTTGACCTCTATCATCACTAGCACAGTTACCCGGTCACTCAAACATCTTTTGCAAACTTCCACTTTTAAAGGAAAACACAGTGAGGTTAACATTTGGTGAGTGTCTACTATGTACCAGGCTACATGGTTGGTACTCTCACTTTTATTGTTTTGTGTGATCCTCACAATTCTGTTAAGTCTATTCCACATGAGGGAACAGAGGAGAAGATAGGTGTCATACAAGTCTAAATATAAAATCTTCATTCAAACAAAGCTGTTGAAACCAAAGCCACTCCCTCAGCCATGCTGCCGGACACTTCTGGCCTTTGAGCCATGCAGCTGCTTGAGTAGGGCCAATCTGCCAACTTCCTCCAAAGGGGGACAAACATCTGGTCCACCTTTAGTAGCCAGTCTCTAACACGGCACAGCGGCCTTTATCTAGAGTCTATCCAGATGCACTGATTTCATCATTCATTTTATGAGAGAAAAGACACAAGCAATAAACAAGTGGCTTGGAAGTTTAAGCTGACCACACAGCTTCTTCCAGTAAGATGAAAAAAAAATTTTTTTTAACATTTCCCCCCAGATCCCAACCTCTGTAACTGGATCCTGGAAGCCCACCTAAAGCCCATAGCATGTTAACAAATACGTTCAGAGATGAGAGGTGGTCCCATGCCAAGAGACATAGGAAGGACTGTACTTACACTTATATCAAGACTACAAAGGCTAACCGCATCTTCATCCTGGGGGCTCTGCTTCCGTTTCCGCTGTGAAACAAACAATAAAACAAAGTTCAAATGTAAACAAGGATTATGACTTCGATTAAGGAGGGAAAAAAATGCAATCAAATAGCACACGTAATCCTTATCATTTCTACCATGTTACGCAAAACCTTAGGCCGAATTCTAAGAAAGCCTAAGAAATTACAGGAAACGATTAAGCTCTGGGATAACTGATTTGCATTACTGTTCTTATTCAAGCCACTACAGTTTGTTTCTCTTTATAGTTTCTTTTTTTCTAAATGTCTCTGTATAGCAAGACTTAGAAATTGAGACACAGAGTTCAGATTTTTATTAACATGGAAGAAGACATTAGACTGGAAATAATCTAATTCACTTAAAGATATTCCATTTTTAGAGCTGCTTTGTACATGTGTAAGTTAAATTTGTTCTAAACTTCACCCAGGGTGCTGACGTTATCACAGAACCAGGATGTTGGAAGGAACCTTAGACATCTTCTCCAACCTTCCCATTTTAGAGCCATAAACACCAAGACTCAGAAGAGTCACTATTGCAACTGAAGAAAACTATATTTGAAATGAATTTATGACCATGGAAGTCTATGGGGTTGGAAAAATGTATTAGCCTCTGTATAAAAAGAAGAGAAACTCCGTTCACAAACACAATCAAGCTCTTCAGAGACACATTTACTTCTCTTCTGCATCTCTAGCTTAACCAATCAGGTAAGTATTTCTCGAGTCTCTAATTTGTGACTTGCTAAATCCCCTACTTGGTAGAGAGCTGCTGGTGGACCAGAATCTCTGGTATAAGGTTACAGTGGAGTGGTATGAGAAACAGTTGGACTCTTCAGCCCTCAAAGAAGTCCATCGCATCCTGCCCTTTCTCCTCTATTAGGTGATGAGTGTGAACACGGGCAGATGCTGGAAAGCACCCAGTCCTTATCTGTCCTAGACTGTCTCACTATAACTCTTCTATCATGTATTTAGCTCAACAAAGATTTGTTGAGCACCTATTATGCACCAGGTCCTGTGTTTGCTCCCAGGAATGCCAAGATCGGCAACTTCCCTAGTTAAGGAACTCATATTAACTCACATAATTATCATATTCCTGTAAGAGACTCAGACTCTGGTGTGATTATAATGCAGTAAGATCCAGTTATCCTAGGGAAAGTCACTTCACTTGCCTGAGTCACCCTTTCTCAACTCTAAGGTGGAGGTGGTAACATAAGATTTTATTCTCCAAGAGGGTGAAGTAAATACAGTGACGGGTGTTAGCACGCAGCAGAGGGCCTGGTGCACGGTGAGGGGGTAATTAGCTTGGCCATGGTGGGAGCTGGGGGTGTTTTCTCAGAGGAGGAGGCATCTGAACAGGTCTGACGGATGAATTTAAGAGTTTGCCAGACACAGATGGGGAGGAGACTGGGGCATCTCTTCCATAACCACCTACCTAGATGCTTCAAATCCTAAAGGTTAACATGGTTCCCTACAGAGTATGGAGTGGTAGATCCCATATATCATTCCACTTGAGCAGTGGAAGAATTTAGAGATCCAATGCTAGGAGCCAGGATCCTCAATCAGCCATTCAGAGATACTATCCAAGAATCTTCACTAACAAGTTTACCATGTGACTGGTGATTGTCAGGGAGTCAAATACTCCACTCAAGGGCTTTGGGGGAGCCCCAAGAGGACGCTGAGAGCTGCTTGTCATTTTGGGGGGGGGGTGCTGCTTCATGTTTGCATAGGGACATGACCCACATTGATTCATGATTCAGTTACAATTAAAAGCGGCACTGTGGTGTCATTGAAGCCAATTCATTGGCCTGTATTTATACGCTGACTTTGGAGGCAAGGGCGGCAAGGCATAGCTCCCATTCTACAGGTAAATAAATTGAAGTTAGGAGAGATAAAGAAATGGCTCCCAAGTTACATGGCTATGGTATAACACCCTGAATCCAAGATTCGAATTCCTAGGGCAAAACCCTTCACTCACACACACACACACACACACACACACACACACACACACCATTTTAAGCACACTTGGCAAATAGGTTATGACTCATTTGCCATTCAGAATGCCTGGCAGCTGCCTCGAGTGCTGTATTGAGAAGGATTTCACAGCACAGAAAGTGAGGGAAGGCCACACTCAAGCAGTAGCGTGTGCTGGGGTAAAAGAGGAGGGATGTCTGCACTGGCACCCCACCACCCAGGACAACCTAGCCATTTCCTGAACCTGGCTTCTCTTGCCTTGAGAGGATGCAGAACTAGACCTGTGCTCTTGGGAAATCCCATGAGAGGGTGGAGGCTCTGGGGTGCTATTTGTAAAGTGGCCATTAACCACCAGGTCAGGCTGTCCTGAGGATCACAGAAGATATGTATGCAGCACCTGGAACAATGGCTGGCACGTGGTAAGGGCACAATAAACGGTGGCTCCCAGTATTACCCAAACCGTAAGCGACAGAGATGTATGCCTCTATCTGGTGTTGTTAGATTAAGGAATTTTATGATGCTACAGTTCCATTGTGAGGGCTCAATGATTTTGTCAACATGACACATTTACAGTGGCCTGTTACCCCCAAAATCCCACCCTAGTGAAGGAGAGAGGACATTAACAGAGGCTCTTTCTCTCATGGGCATGCAAACTCAATATATCAACCAGGGTTGGAACACAGCCTCCTGAGCATCACTAACCCTAGATGCTTCAATGCATCCCAAGAGCCAAATGCAGAAGACAAAAGTCCTCTAGTGGCCTTTAAAGTAAGCCATAGCAAGTTAACCTGGGATAGAAGATCTCCTTAAGAAACCCACCCATTTTACAAAGTAAAATCTGCATGGATTATCAAAGTAGGTGTTCCTTTCAATTTCCATTGCATAGGGTGCTAACTGACCACGGTCAGCAACACAGAAGGAGTCTGCAATTTAAACTTTAGGCCCAACGCAAACACCTCCCAGGGTCACTAGGTTGTGTGCTCATTCGCTGTTTTCACTGAGCACTCCCGATGTGCGAGGCCCTGCTCTGGGTGCTAGGATCCAGCAGTGAACCAGCCAGTCATGCTCCCTTCCCACTAACTGGGAATAAAAAGAAAACAAAGTATTTCATTAGACTGCGATCTCTGCTGTGAATGAATCAGAGAAGCTGTAGAGACAGAGACCAGCAGGAGAGACCCACTTCAGAGAGATACTTTAATTTTCTGTTTTCGGGTTGACTTTCTTATGAGACGCAAGCACACAGAGGCAGGATTTAGTCGGTCAGAATCACATTCTTAGAACAGGCTACAGTACCTGGCGCCTAGCCAACTCCCCCAGAAGAGTATTTCTTCATTTGTTGTTGATACTTCTGACCCTGCTCCCTATGAGAAACTTGTCTTCTTCACAATTACCCAACTTCGGGGAAGGAGGGCACGGTGGAGGGGAACAAACAGGTACCCATTCCACCAGCTCAGCACCACCCTTCCGGGCGCATCAGTCATGGAGAGATGACCTGGGGCAGCTCCAAGGGAGGAAGAACTCTGTGTGTGAAACCCCTGCATTTACACACTTGGTCTCATGGGTTCTCAGCCTATCTGAAGAGCCAGAGACCCACCCTGTTATTCTTGTCACATTCACTGAGGCGAATGCACAGTCCACTTCCCTTTCAACTATGAAAAACAGTGCGCCGTGGGTGAGCCCAGGGACCGTGCTGTAGTCTGGGCTCTCTGATTTGAGTGCATAACTTAAAACCCCAGCGTCCTGTGTTGAGCAGTAGGTCAATGAATAATCTCTGAATGAGTGACTAAAAAAAGAATAAATAAAGGAGGCCCGTGTTCTTGGGGCGACACCCTTCCCTTCCGCTAACCACCTGGCTGCCAAAATTAAATCAAAACCTCAAAAGCAAAGATCACTGAAGGCTAAAATTCTTCAACCTCAAATTTCCTTGGGGACTCAAAACATGCAAGTTCAAGCTACAATTTTTGCTTTTCAAATAAGAGACTCTTTTTCTTAACCAGCAGAGACATTTATTTTCCTTAAAGTATATAGATAAGTTAAAAAAAAAATTACAACTGTTCAGACATTGGTCCAAGTGGAACACTGGTGATTTTCACTCCTCATGTGAGAAGAAATGTCAGGTCTGTTCAAAGGCAAGGCCCACTCATGACTAGGCAACAAGCATGCACTTTCCCAAGCAACACCATGAGCACCCAGCCTCTGTGCTTCAGGAGCAACGAATCCAGGATTGATAACAGCCTGAAATGAAATGAAATGAAATGAAATGAAACAGCTGGCTGAATCCAGCCATAAGCAACCTGATTTGGCATCTGAACTCTTTGTCTGGACACCTATCTGAGGCAGGGAGGAAAGGCAGTTCCAGGAAGGAATACACAGGAACAACGGGCTAGAGTATACCGTCTGATTCCTTAACCCTGCAGGCTACATATTTCATGGAGATGCTTTCTAGAGGTGCTCGGGTGCTGGCAAAACCTCATGCTTCTTGGCTCAAGAACCGACCAGGAGGCTCTCTGTTAATCTGCAACAGGGCAAAGTCTTCTGTACATGTGGATCTGAGTTCTGATGGAGATACAGGTCTCTCTGGACAGATGGGGCAGACTCTGAGACTCATTCCTGGTGACACCATCCGCTTTCACAGCACATCACTGTTCTCCAAGCCACTCTGTGACCACCTCCTCTTAGGCTTGGCTACCTTCTGACAGCACATGGCAGACACATAAATCTCATCAGTAAATGGTCTGGGAACAAGTGTTTTTCTGTGGTTCTGGGTAAGGCTCTCTGCCAAGAGCAGTGACCCTACCTGTCCTCAGCTGATGGATTTGCAGAAGAGCTGGTCCCAGCTCTAAGCCTGTCTGATTCTTATTAGGCTCAGCTTACATTCTCTCTAGACCCAAATCTTGGGATCCTTTGAGGTTTTGAGTCTTGGAAGCAAAGGAGAATCACCATCAAATATACAGTGGGGGTGGAAAGAAGTGGATGCGGGAACTGGGTGTCCGCTATGAGCCAAGCACTGTGCTCACTATTTAAAGAACTGTTCCTTTC